CGAAAAAACAACACAAGCAGCAAATGCGGCCTGGGACGTACGAGCTTGGCGTTATCACTTTAGGCACTAAGGATGCATACATATGAAGAGCACTGTTGAAATTGATATTGACTTCACAGATGACCGTAGTAGTAGTGACGAAAAAAAGGGCATGCGATATTACCGAAATTTGTTTTTGCCACTTGGCTTTTTCGGCTTCCCAGCTTGAATGCTCTCAGACAGAATGACTCTTTAACACAGTCAATACGCTGCTGACGCAAATAGGAATTTATGTATTCTCAAGTGCATATTGTAAGCACTGTAAAATAAAATTCATGTCATGGATTTTATAGGCATACAAACACCCAGATTTGATTGCCAATAGCTTTACACGGTACGAATACAGTCGTTTTCTAACAAAACGCGATTTGAAAAGAAAGGTGCTTTATCGCGACTGGTTTATGGACGGATGGTTTGTTATTACACGCATTTTCAAAAAGCAGAAGGGTTTTGCAGCTCCCTTACTAAGTAATAATTTTTTTTTTTGGTTGTCATCTATTATCTATTATATCAGACGGCTTGGATGGAATCTTCATTGCGGCCACTTAAGGGAATATGGGTTGTTATAAAGTGAATTGTAAAATTTGTCTTTCAGCAGTTTAATTTGAACTGAACCAAACACGAAAATTATATTGATGAGACATGTTTCCAAGGTTTTCGTAATACTATGCTTCATGCATACGTCTGGTATTCGCACATTTAGCGGATAACTCCTGTACTAAGAATCATTTTGGTTGTCATCTATTATTAATGATATCAGACGGCTTGGATGCGGCCACTTAAGGGAATATGGATTGTTAAAAAATGGGTTGTAAAATTAAAACCCCAGGCTGGAACAAATCAGGCTTATCGGTACAATCATGCGTTTTTGCACTAAATTTGAAGCAGTCAGGTCGTTAACTGTTTGAATGTTTGCTACTTTACACTTGCAATGTTTGTTCCCAAGCGTAAATTTTGCATAGAAGAACATGAGCAATTCCTGTTTAACGGTCATTTTTTGATAATGACCTAGCTGTTCAGCGACCAGTTTCCCCACCAAACTTTCACGTACCCGTACTTAAGAACTGCGCGTACCTGAGGGCTGAATTTGAAATGTTTGAATCGTGCGTGGATGGGATACATTCCCTTAAAATTACAGCCTTCCAGTTTTTCTAGTTTTCAAGTTGGCAGTTTTCTTTCCAAAACTTTCTCGCGTTTGTACGCGGAGTTCAAACATGTGTGAAGGTTGGTACTGCTGTCCTGAGCGGCACTTGGGCGGTGATCCCACTGGCAAAATTTCAACACCGAAGCTTGCTTGGTTGCGGAGTTGAAATACGCAGACAGATGCACACGGACAAACACACAAATACACACACATACATGTACGCACACCATGGTTCGTCACAATAAGTTTTCGCATTTGCATGTGTGCAAAACGCATAATAACTGTTTGGTAATGTGGTCGAGGACTGCCTGAAGACAAGCTAATTGTGGGTTTAATATCCTGTCAAGCGTCAACATCGGTTTACCATCGAGTGTGCCAGCACCAATTTCCCAAAAAATGAGCGAACCGTAGAAAGAATAGTTGCCTTACTTGCGAAGATGAACCCTCAACTTTTTGTACGATAACGCAAATTCTCATTTAAGAAATGCCATTGGCAGCATTGCCAATGGGTGATTGTTACTGGCATTCGGCGCCATCCAGGTTATTTTCCACTTCTGAGCAACACACCGGCACGTTATTATTGAGGGATTTTTTTTTTTGGTCTCCGAATTGGTCATCCCTAATACCGTGCGGTAAAATAAATTAGAGTCTCTGAAGTTTTAAAATTCCACTTCTTTTACCTTCAGATCATGACAGAAGCTTGGACTGGACATGAGACGAAAAACGAAAACAGAATTGCTTCCACAAACACACATACACACAAACACATATACATACACAAAATTTATATTTCGAGAATACTTCATCCCAGCCCTAGAGTTGAGTTATCTGAAGTCATACGCTTACTTACATCCTACTGTAAAAAGAGTCACTAAGATCAGCTTCAGTTTCATTAACCCCATTTTCTCACACATTCCTAACTTCCCGCTACACTGGAAATATCGCTAGCTACTTCATTCATTCATTCATTTTTATGCGTTTTTGCATATATGCAAATTGCAAAAACGCATATTGGGAAGAGGCTG